AATAAAAACACAACGGTATTCAATAAGAGAGAGGCAACCACGCGACCCGGTTACGATTATTACGATTACGCTCGTTGTATTTTTACCGCCGAGTTGTTTGAAAAAGAGCCTCAAAATGTCCGCGCACCAAACGTTAAGCGGGTCGGTTAGTCTTTAACCTTGGAAAAAGAAGGGTCCTTTCATGGTGGAGAGATCGTCCGCCTGACTTTTCGCCCCACTTTCCAAGGGCTTTTTTTCATCAGATCATCAAGGTCTAGAAAAACCACACTTGCGTTTTAGGGTCCTTGTGGAGCGCTTGATAAGGACCTTTTTCTCATGAGGCCACACTTTCGTGGAGAACTGTTGAGTGAAACAACAGAAACGACAACAGTATTTCTTTTGGGACAGTTTTACGCTCCACACCCGCGCGCTTCATCACCCTAGGGTAAGAGGTCTGTCAAAACTGTCCTAATTTGTGCAGTTCAGTACCTCCTTTTTCGTAAAGTTTACAGGTAGGTAGGTAGGTAGGTAGAAGAGCGCGGCGAATAGTCACACCAGCCAAGCGCCTCCATCGCGGTCAGAGGTCGTCTCGACCAACTCAGGTGTTTTTCTTTCAAGCGCGACACCGGTGTAGTCGGCCTTGACGATTGACGCGCTAGGGTCTGCGGTGGCCTGGTCGCCCTCTCTCTATTACCTTATAGCGTAGACCTAGATCCAGATTAAACCTATAGACACGAGGTCTGACCTGCACCAGAATAGGTGGACATGCTTCAGCCCGGCCTTACGTAGGGGTGATCCAACCGGCTTGCCGTGAACACGTTCGTCCCGAAAGAATACTGGTCGTGCTTCTGTTTCACCTCAGCGTTAGCTCAGCGTAGGGCTTAGTGTGTCGTTGAAGAGTGGAATAAGCGTCGATTTTACGCCTCTGTCAAGGACGGTGGGAAACGCCACTTGTGGGTATTTCTAGACCATGATCTCTCGCTAGAGCAAGAAAGCCACGTAACTGGGGAGGAATATAGTGGTCCAAACTCCCATCCTTTGCTCTACGCGACGCCATCTCGTCCCACCGGATAAACCGGAGCCCGAGTCGATTGACAAAGTCAAAGACTTGCCACCGCCAATTTCTCTTGACGTCATTGGCGAGGGCGGACAGCTAAGAGGCTGCGTAGAGTCTCGAAGTAACAAGGCGAGTGAGCTCTTTGTTCTGCGGGCTCTATGAACATGAGCGTAAGCGTTAATAATCGCATCCTGAAGTCGCGTGGGTTGCCTTCACGTTATTTAATGCCGATGTGTTTCGACTCTTTGCACCATCGCCGACTCTACTCCTCCACGAGTCTACGAGTAGGTCGGGCTAAAAAAGTGTGACGGCCAACCGCTTGGCTAGGTCACTCATGACATCCCAGCCGTATGCGCGCTACCTTCAAGTAGCCCGTGGGTGTAGTAGACTGGGTTTCGTCAACCACTCGTTTCGAATGAGCAGTCGCCGGTAGACGTCATTAGGCGAGGGGAGTCTCTGAATAAGCCACAGCTTGTGTGGCACATTATCAAATGAGTCGTCCTTAACCACTGTTCGCGTCTAGGACCCGCCTCCGGTTTGATTCGGACTTACAGGCTAATGCCGCTCCTGGCCTGTTTAAGAGCGAAACCCTCATGTCTCTACCACCGGACTCATCTCTGCGGATTTCGCAGGTTAAGGTAAATGATGACGTCGTAGGAAACGTTACTGAAGTCATCAGGCCAGTATGGCGCGAAGTCAGATTGTTTCTTGTGAACAATATGACCTAATCGCATTGCGGTCCTGACTAGGTCCTGGAAACACTCACTGTTTCAACGTTAATGCAACTAAATTGCTATGTCCTGCTTTGGTGTGACCAGATGATTTTTACTTCCGTAACGCTGTTTGCCGGGCGTTGGATAGCTTCATGACGAACTCTCGTCTTTGACAGCGGTGTTATTTATACTTCGGAGAACATAACGTTATTCCAATGTACTAACGTAATCTTCCCCCTTGTGCGTAGCAGCCAGACGGTGAGGAGCCATACGAGGACTGAGAGAATGCGCTGTATACTAATCCTTTGCTAAGTTGTATCCTGCGTGCGCGTGTGGCGCTCGGTGTCGTAAAGACATCGCCTACATTTACTCCGTCCCCGGGTTTAGTATTTTTTCCGCGTGTTCACCGCCGACAATGAGTTGTAATTTATGTATAAAAGCGGACCTTAGCTCATTGAAAAACACTGTTAAATTTTACCTATGAATTTACAAACAAAATTTGTTTAGGTACTGAATCCAGTCGATTGTGTTGTGCGACCTCCCAAATCAGGGTTAATTACTAGAGAGAGTTGGCCTCCTCCGCCTCGTCTCCTATAATTAACTATTGGGTCGTCACAAACCATGACTGGATTCAGACCTAACCAGAATTATGTTTGAATTTATAGGTGAAATTGGAACAGTGTTTTTCTCGAGGGTAAGGTCCGGTTTATATCATAAATTAATCATTCCGTGCGGTGACAACAAAATACTAAACCCGGACGAAAAGAGATGGTGCACGGACGAGTATACATTTCAGGATAGTATGACAGATTCTCAGTCCGCTCGTCTGTGAGTCTGGTCACAGGAAGGATTTGTGTACATTCGGATTTATTACTGGAATCTAACGTTGCACACTTCAGAGCGTTTCATTCACTATCGACCCGTACCGTACGTACCGTAAAAATGATCTGGGTCACAAAAAAACAATAGTTATCTTATTTAGTTGATGAACTTTGAACAGTCTTGGTTTTTTAGTCGGCGAATTGCTCTTTTCCTATGGTTTTTTTTGAGTAAATTTCTAGTTTTCTGGTTCAACTTTTTGATTGACGCTTGTTGTTTCCTTCGACGTATCTTTTTACGTAGACTGAAGAAATCCGGAAAGGTGCTCGTTGGTGTCATGCAAAGGCGGTCCTTATCAAGGGGGGTCCCTTGGATCAAACGGGCCTAGAGAATAAGGACTTGACTGATCAAGTCTAGCGCAAGGTGCTGGGCGTTATTCAGAGACTCCCTCAATGCGTTTTACTTCAGGCGACTGCAGCTGAAGGGAGAAGAAGACGAAACCCAAATGACTGATCCGGCGTTTGTTGAAGGCCGCGTCCATTTACGGTGGGCTTCAGGGCCCGGGGGGCCCATTTGAGCGGTCTTCGTGACGTGGAGGAGTAGGGGGGGCGAAGGGTGCAAAAATTAAACACAACGATATTCAATAAAGAGCAGCAGGGGCCAACACCGCCGACCCGGTTACGATTATTACGATACGCTCGTTCATTTTACCGCCGGAGTGTTTTTAAAAGGCCTCAAAGGTCCCGCCACCAAACGTTTAGCGGGTCCGTTTGTACCTGTCAACCTGGAAAAAGTCCTTTCATGGTGGAGAGATCGTCTGCCTGACTTTTCCCCACTTTCCAAGGGCTATTTTTTTTCAAGATCAAGGTCTAGAAAACACACACTTTCGTTTTAGGGGTCCTTGGTAGGCTTGATAAGGACCTTTGGTTCATTTGAGGCCACACCTCTTCGTAGCGAGAACGTTAGTGAAAACAAGAACGCAGACAGTATTCTTTTGGGACAGGTTTACACTTCATCACCCCGCGTACGTAAAGGTCTGCCAAACTGTCGCCTTAATTTTTGTGCAGTTCAGTACCTCCTCGTAAAGTTTTACAGGTAGTAGGTAGTACGGTAGAAGAGGGCGAATTAGTCACGAGCGCTCAGCGCCTCCATCGTCAAGGTCAGTCGTCGACCAAAACTACACCCGGGGTCCCTTTGTTCTTTCAGAACCCCGCGAGAGGCGACTTGACGATGTCGGCAGCGGCGCTGGTGCCGGTGACTCATTCGCCCTCTTCTACCTACCTACCTACCTACCTGTAAACTACGGAGGAGGTCTGGACTGCACAAAATTAGGGACGCGTTTTGACAGACCTTACTAGGGGGTGATTGAGGGTGTAAACTTGTTCCCAAAGATTTAGGCTGTTGGTCGTTCTTGTTTTCCACTCCGACACGTTCTCTCCACGAAAGGCTGGCCTTGCATTACAAGGAAAAGGTCCTTATGCGAGAGGCGCTACCAAGGAGCCCCTCGCAAGGCAAGCCGCAGTGTCCTGGTTTTTCTAGGCCTGATCTTGAAAATAAAGCCGCCTGGCAAAAGTTGGCGGAAAAGTCAGGGCGAACCGCGATCTCCACCATGAAGGACCCCGCTCTTCTTCCAACGGTTAAAGACTAACCGAACCCGCTAACGTTTGGGTGCGGGACATGTTGCAGGCTTTTCAAAACACTACGCGGCTGTAAGAATAACCGAGCCGTACGTAAATCGTAACCGGCGGTGGAGATGAGGAGGTGTCAGTGCTTCTGGCGATTTACCCGGGGGGCTCCGGGACTTCGGGTGGCATTATGCGCCGTGAAGTTGTTTGCGGCCTATCAGTAAACCCAAAGCAGAAGAAGAGGAAGTGACGTCAGCGGCTTCATTTGCGTAATCCTCCCTCAGAGACTTATTCGGGTGTGAACGCGATCTACTAGGTAGTTCAGGAATTAAGAGATCCGGGAAACTAGGTTCCGGGAACTATTCCTGGGGAAAGTACTTGGTGTGAAAGCGCCTAAAGAAGTCAGATGCCATTTTTCTATGCAGTTCCTTTTGTTGTTCAGTAGTTTTTCAACTGGTCTTTGATCTTAAATGAGTTTTTTTTTATCCTTTTCGTTAAGCAGGGACTGATTTTTTGTTTCTGACAAGTTCAATTAGTTGATTTATTTATTATAAACAAAAAACACTGGTCTAGTAAAAATGCCATGCATGCCATGCAACCTATACTACTTTGCAGAACTTCCACAATTAAATATAAAGTCATTATTTTAGGTTACATGTAGTTAGGAAGGATCTGGTTGATTCTTGCTCCTGACTCTTAGACATATGATAGGATTACATATGAGCAGGCACGTGTAGAGGATGTAAAGAGGCAGGGGCCCAAAATCATAAAAGGGCACAGTGGCGCTGTTACTAATTAAATACATATTTGCCTGGAATGAGTACTTTTTGTGACAATGTTAAATGGATATTTAAATGTTTGTATTTAAAACAAATCCATGACTTAGGTCAGTACAAACACTGCTGGGGGTTAGTCAATTAATGATTGATAAATGTCTCCTTGTGCCTTAGCCAATCGCCATATAGAGTTTTCAACACGTTATCCAATCAAAATGCATGTCAAAATGCATGTCAGCTAGGTACGGTAAGTAATGCAAGGTACAAAGAAAAAAAAGGTACGATTGACAAAGGGCAGGTGCTACCCCCCCCTGAGGTGTATCTGTGCCTACAATACCATACATCTTCAGACAGTTCTGTTCAACATATTCATAAACATGTTGATCATAGTTACACATCTGAAGTGCTGCTGCATCAAATACATGCTTTATGAGGAATCTATTATAAGAGTGGCATTTATCCAACATCAGCGTTGCAATGTAACTAATCACATTTACTCAAGTATTGTACTTGTACTTTACTTGAGTAGTTTCATGTTATCCTACTTTATGTACTTTATAATTTTACTCCACTACATTTGTCACAAAGGTATACTCTTTACTCAACTGAATGTATTTTACATATTAAGTGACTAGCTACTAGATTTAGGTTATTAATACAACATGTAAATGAACTAATACATTGTCATATATTATTTTCACTTTAAACTACCCAGTAGTATATCAAGTAATTCAAATAAACCAACCTTTACCAAGCGCAACATTGAATACATTGAACACGTTAATGCAGCAATAAGTTTAATACAATAATCTAAAATATGTGCTGCTTAAATGGGTCCTTCTGCATAAGTAATTTTACTTTTGTAATTTAAACTATATTGTAATTCAAATACTTTTTTAATCTTACATCCTAGTATGTACAGTTTTGAATTCAGGACTTTTAACTGAGTATTTATACACTTTAGTATTACTACTTAGTTATGTAAAGAAACTACTAAGTACTTTTTCCACATCTGTCCAACACCCAGCTAGGAAGAGACTCTAATTTCCTCTGACCGGTAGTATTGATGATAAGACTATTTGTGTCATACCGTAACGTACCATTCTATTATCCAGTCAACATTACACTGATTCTCTGTGGGGTCATTGCTGTCATCCTTTCAGCAGAAGAGACTGGGTGGGATTGGTGTTGTGGTGTTATCACAGCTAAGGTGAGCTCAGGTGGGGTACTCCATCATAAATGCTGAGTGGAGAGGATGTGTAATTTACCTTGACTAGCTGTATTGTCTTTAAGAGAAATATGTTACAGTGAATCAGTTAAGACTGGTTTAGGGTGAATCCTCTGCCTCCTTCAAGCTCTATAATGTAGTAGACGTTCCTCCTAAATGAGATCCATTAATCTCTCTTTTTTCTCTCTGTTCTTAGGCACAGATTTTGATTCATAATGACTTTGAAACAACTTGTCTATGATGAATAATACATGGGCCTGAGAGATTGTTCTATAGAGAGGTGGGATTAGGCTAATATTTGCATTGGCCACTCCAGGGCGAGGCACAGAGACAGTCTGATTGTCTCTGCTATAGCTGTCTCACTGCATACAGATCCAGAATTATGCTCTATCATTAAGTGCACTCAACTTGCAATCTTCAAGATATATGTCTAGTCCTTAATAAAGTCATGTCATACTCTTATTACTCTTATGGTTAACTGTGTTTACTTTTAACATGTGAACATATAATGATTTTATGTCTTGGCAAATTACCTAGATTGTATTTAACC